CCTCGACAGTGAATACCCGTGCAAAACTATCATTGAACTCATTTACTATGTCAATGTCGTTTTCAATTATAAGACCCTTACTATCGTGCAGATTATGAATTGCAGTTTTTCAATGGTCTATGAGCCGACCCAATGAAAGCTGCAGTGCCTATAGAAAGTCATCACACCCTTTTGCAAGTTACTTTACTTGCTACAGCCTGAAATCAATACGCACTCAAAAAAAAAAAAAAAAAAAAGCTTTATTTACAAATTTTGCAGTACAACACCAGACTACTGAAAAGAAAGTCAACATCTCTGGCATTTAATTAAAAAATGAAAAACCAGAATGACAGGGTTGGAAGAGTAATCAATCCCACATTTTAATACTTAGTACTTAATTCTTAGAGCAACCTTTTGCTGTAATTTCAGCCACCAATCTCTTTGGATTCATCACTACTACCTTTACACACCTAGACTGGGGAATGTTTACCCATCCTTCCTTGCAGAATTGTTGAAGTTCAGTCAAATTCTGTGATGAACAGCAATGGACTGCTCAAGTCCATCCACAGTGTCTTTATTGGTTTTAAGTCAAGACTCTGACTTGGCCACTCAAGGACATTCACCTTCCTATCCTTAAGACACTGTATTGTGCTTCTGGTGGTATGTTTAGAATTGTCATGTTGAAGGGTGAATGATCTACCCATCTTCAGCTGTCCTGCAGAGGGCCGCAGGTTTTCCTCAAGAATTTGGCTGTACTTTGCAGCATCCATTTTCCCTTCGATCCTGACCAATCGACCAGCCCATGCTGATGAGAAACACCCCTACAACATAATGCTGCCACCAATAGGGCTGTCACAAGTTTTAAATGATGATTGTCATGCAAATAATTGCGATTTGTATTTTTCTGTTCATATCAGCGTAGGGTTAGCCTGATCATAGTTTAATATTGCATATACACCTTATGAAGAACTGAATATTGAATATTGGAATATAAATTGCATTTTCCTTTTAAGCTTTGTAAACAAAAATGGTAGAGGCCTGATAGGACATTAAAGTTAAACACCCCAAGATGGTGTTGCCCCTTCCTGATCCATACCACCTGCCCGATTTTATCTCACACGTTTGCACCGCCCTATCTACTCATCCTGCCACTTTATGGCAAATCATATTGTCTACATTTATAGCATTTAAGTGTTTATTCCAGTCGTCCATTTCCAGTTTTTGGTTCAACACTATTACCTAAATATCCCATATCTGACATTTATATTTTCATAAGCTGAAACTACTGCAAGCTATTTCCCGACGCATGTTTAAGATGCCAAACTTCATATGCCTTGTCCACACATACACGGGTATTTTTTAAAACGGTGTTTTAAAACACAAACATTCTTTAGTGCATTGACAGGGGAAACAACTAAAACTTAACCAATATAGTATGTCACAGTTCAGAACTCCCTAGCTCAGAGGCTGCAATCATAAGCATGCCATGGCAGGCCATACTGAAAAGAAAACTGCACTGGCTAACCTTATCAATTATATACAAGGCCTGGTGCAGACCTTTTTCAACCTCCTTCAGATGCGTGTTTTCTATGGGTCAATGACAGCTGTTAAACCATAATGTTTGCACAAGAAGCACAAAACACACAGAATTACAGGCGCAAGTAAACATGACATGACATGAGAGGGGAAGTTCTGCGTATTGTTTATACATAATCAGAGCTAGATAAGATTTTAACAACTCTGAGCTATTAGTTCAGTTCTCCCCAAATGAGCTTGATGGGCCGAATGGCCTCCTCTCGTTTGTAAATTTCTGATGTTCTTATGATTTAAATAATTCTCAAAACAAATCAATTCACATTCAATGTAGTTAGTGGATTTCATCTAAACGGGTGGGCCCAGCTCTCAATCTGCCAGTGTATGAGCCCGACACACGAACAGCAAGCCAGCCATGGAACATTAGGGGACAGATAGGACGTTGCACACAGATAGAGTCGCTCCTGCCTAACTGTGATAAAATAGACACCACAGCAATTTTTCAAATCATCCTTTTTCTTGTGACAGAACGGTCCCCATCGGACCCCCTCAAACACCAATAATCAATCATTTTGACACAAACCGTACAACACTACAGTCTGACAGGCAGCAGTCATGGCCAAGAGAAAATCCAGATACGGACTCAGCAACATGGAAGGGAGGGAAAGGCCACCCTCAGTCGACATTTCCACATCAGCCATTTCTCTACTGATTCCTTAAGAGAATCCGAAGCCAACAAGAATTCCTGAACTGGCTGATGCGTTTACATTTTGTGGAAATATTCATAAATATTTCATAATGCTGAACACACACGAGTGTGAAGCAAATATGATTATTGCTTACTAGTACTGGTAATAAACATTTAAAAGGGCAAAATGTGAAACGCTGAAGACAGGGGACATTTTTTCCTTTGAAGGTAAAAACTAAAATGATTCATGAAACTTGCAAACCTATTCCAAAATTCATTCTAAAGTTTGCACATAGGAAGGTTCATCGGTCCATTATTTCTCGCAGATCGAGCACAAAACAATGGGATAGGAAGAGACCAGTGTGCTAAACACAGGGGTCAGGGGGGTCCGACACCCCCGATTAACCCACGAGACCCCTGAAAGCCTCAAAAACAAAATTTTAAGGGGGTCTCAAGATCGGTATTGCGCAACAATAGGGAGATGGGGACCCCCCCCCCCCCGAATATTGACGGGTGTTTCGCACAAGGGAAGAGACCCATTACATGCTTAATAAAGTAAATTCTCCTAAAGTATTACAATTAATTAAAATTATTAAAGTGTTTTGAACGACTGCATAGATTTGCAACAACACACTCATTTCCAAGGGGATAAATCAAGAATAATATCATGGCGCTCCAACTACGACAAGAAACAAACTCTTTTAAAAATCCGGACTGAACGGAAATCTGCCAATAGATGTACAGAAAAAAATGTTGGATTTTCAACCTTAAATATTAATGAACAGAATGCGAAAAAAAATGTTCTAGGGCTCAGTATTTGTGCCTCCTACATAAGGAAAAACAAAACAAGTAATGAAAATAAGAGCAAGCCAACCTCACCTCGAGCATCTTCCTGGGCGCCCGGCTGCAAACACACTTTGCACAAGGAGTGCAGACACGGCAGGAGCTGGGGACACGTGTGGGGACTGTGGGCCGCTCCGCAGGCACCGCAAGTCCCGAAGCCACAAGCCGCCACGGGCGCTGCGACCTCAGTTATCCTTTCGACTGACCCGTCGGACATTTCTGCAGCAGTCACAGCAGTCTGAGCGCATAACACATACTCTCACCACATGAGAATGGCTCAACCTCACCAGCAATTTTTGTGCTATTCCCAGAGTTTTTGAGTCAATTAACTCGAATTTCGCGAGGCTGAAACATTCTCGCCGTTTTTTAGCGCATCTGTGTTATGCGTTTCCCTGTGGTAAAAGCCAGGAGGAAGTAGGAATTCGATGCCCGCCACACAGTTTGAAGCAGCCCAACCAATCCACTTTAAGTCGTAGCGATCCCGCTTGGAACACCCAAAATGGAATTAAATAGGTTGGAGAACTGTCTAATTTTCGCTATATGTCATATGAACCATGGAGAAAAAAAAACATTGTTCCAAGTAGTGACTTACTCAATACCTACACTGCCCCTCTAAAGATGGGTGCGTGGGTATCGGTAAATATTATACTAGCCACCTTAGTGCTCCCATTTACCCCCTACCCAGTTCAGCACAAACCACGCCCACCACCGCAGCGGAATCCTCGACTAGGATCCATTTCATTGGCTAACAGCACGAATATCTGATACGAATTGTAGCGCCAAGGTTGGAATTTTAAGTTAGTAATGTGAAGAACAATAAGCGATCGATCAGCCCGTAAACAAAATCTGGGAAAGCAAGAGATGTACAAGAGTTGCCATTAACTGTAAATGCTGAACCAATAGCGGAAATGGGTTATTTTCGTGAGCATTAACGAGATTAAACACAGAAAGTGAAATGGCTTGAATCACAAACAATATCAGTGTTGTATGGCTGTGGACATCACTAATCTGTGATTAAAAGCCGTCTAGCTACATTTGGTTAAAAGATATTACAGCCGAAAAACGTAATATCGACTTTATTGCAGTGCATCAAAAATGTATCAACATTCCATGATTGCAGTCGAGGACTGAGAACGCTGATAATGAAGTGCACTATATAATTTCTTATGCGCTGCCTACACTGCCTTCAAAATTTCTGATGGTACTATACTCTCTTTCACCCGTATTCATAAGCTTTCAGAAAACGTGCAGAAATACGGACTATAGGTATCTGTCTACGTATTTAAAGTTGAGTTGCTACCCGACCTGAGGACACGAGAAGGGTCCAGCTGCAGAGTGCAGATGCTTGTAGAGTGGAGTTCCACCGGAAATACGTCACCTCTACAGGAAACACGTGGCCTCAACTCTGTGTCACAGTGCATAAACCCTAACCTTAACCTTAACCCAGTCCCTAACCCTAACCGGAGCTCCACTTTACGTCCTTAAAGATCACGTGTTTCCTGTGGAGGTGACGTATTTCGGGTGGAGCTCCACTCTACAGGCGTCTGCAGCTAGACCCTCTTGGAGGACACCGCTGTGGGGCCGGAAATCACATGTTCTCCATTTCTGGCCCGGACATGACGTTATGCAAACGTCAGGAACGCATGCGAAATTTATTATACTACTACTACTACTACTACTACTACTAGTACTAATAATAATAAAAAAGATAATCCATCCATTCATTATCTATACCGCTATATCCATTTGGGTCGCGGGTTTTTTTGCACTCTACCTCGCACCTTAAAATTGCACAGTGTTACCCACTTGTGTATATTTATAATATTTATAATTATTCACATTTCAATAAAAGCTGATTCTGATTCTGAATAGAATTTATTGCCAAGTACATCCACACATGCAAGGAATATGCTTTGGTGGTTGGTGCCAGACATCGAGAACAGGTACTAATATAAATAGTCAGAGAATGTGAAATATGATATAGCAGTGGAAATATATACATATTTCAGAGAGCGCATGCTTGTACTAGGATGGGGAAATAGTATTTGAGCAAGTGTTCCTGGCCTTATTGATGAGACAGGCTGCGGTGGGGAAGAAACTGTCCCTATGTCGTGATGTTTTGGTCCCAATGGACCGCAACCTTCTGCCAGGGTGAGAGAAATCAGCCATAAATCTTCTTGCTCTTTTCAAAGACCTGGACTCATACAGGTCCTGTAAGGAAGGTCGCAGCTGATCGTCAAAGGACTTCATAACTACAGGCGTCAAAGCAATGGATCTGTAGTCATTTAGTCCTGTGATCTTAGGTTTTCTTGGCACAGGGATGATGGTGGAGGTCTTAAGGCATGCTGGCACATGTCATGACTCCAGTGAAGTGTTGAAGATTTCTGTGAACACAGGAGTCAGCTGGTCAGCACCGGGTTTCCAGGTGAACAGAGAGATGGAGTCTGGACCTGCAGCTTTGTGGGGGGTTCAGCTTCTTGAAGACCTTGTTAACATCCCTCTCTTGAATATGAAGAGATGGGGTGTGAGCTTTCAAAGATGCCACACCAGCAGTAGGTGTGGGGGAGGTGGTCTGTGGTCGGCGTGGGGAGCTGCGGGGGATGGTGATGTGTGAACAGTCCAGTTGTCTTTCAAAGCAGCAGTAGATTTAGGTCATTGACAGAGTGGGGGGCTGTGGGTTTGTAGTTGGTAATCTGTCTGAGCCCTTTCCCGACAGATGCAGGGTCGTTGGCTGAGAACTGCCATTGGAGTTTCTCAGAGTACAGTCGTTTAGCATTTTTCACCCCTTTGCTAAACCTGGTCCTCAACTTCTTGTACCTGTCCTTGTTCCCACTTGTGAATGCATCTTCCTTCTGCAACCTTAGCTGTCTGAGCTTAGCTGTGAACCAGGGCTTGTCATTGTTGTAACTCACCCTGGTGCGTGTTGGTACACAGCAGTCCTCACAGAAGCTGATGTAGGATGTTACGGCCTCTGTGTACTCTATGACATGTATATGAAAATCTGAGACAAATCACTAAACGATTAAAAAAAAAACCTGTTTTGCAGGGTCTAGAACCGCATTTGCTTTGTTTTTTAATAGTGTCCCCCCCAGTATCAAATTCTCTTCCATGCCAAGGCAAACTAACGTTAGCCTTCAATGACATTACAATGTTAGAATTGTGTAGCCCCCTTCATGTGAGGAGATGTGCTTTGTAGAGCAAGAAAATATAATGCAGTGTCTTAATGAATGCCCTTCTAGTGGAGGGAATGTGATGCAGTGCCCTGTACCGTGCCCTTACAATGTTCTTAGTGGCCCCTATGGGTACACATCCAATGGAAAAGGGTGCAGTAATTGTCATGCATTCTATAAAGGTTACAAGGTCACATTATCTTCTGCAGGTTACATCTTTGCAGTTTTGTTCTATATAATATTCCATAAAATGAAATTATATACGTTGATAAAGAATAGCTGCAAGACCCAAAATTTCAATGAAGGATACGATTGAGAAAGGGGTTAAAATGTTGCTAGTTGTCACCTCTGAATTGTGACATTGTATATTCATTTGTCTAGGGATGACTGAAATGAGTCATGCTAAAACAAAAATTATCACCAGTAGACATCCAAAACTTATTTTAAAAAAATAATAATCTCCCGGTCAGAACCCTAGAGTCAGGTCAGTCCAAGTAGGTCAGATGAGGACCAGGGTCAGACACAGTGTCAGGTCAGAGCACAGCACTGATTCGTGGCCCATGTTTGTATGAGTTTTCATGTGCTGCTGATGGGAGTGTTTTTCTCTAGTTCAGCATAACTCTATGACTGAAGGAGCAATATTTTTCTATGAAAAACATTATAGTGCAGGTCTTGCCATTTTGATTAGAACTGTAACCTGTGCATGCTTGTGCTATTTTAGCATTGCGTTTCTGGTACAATAAATAAATTGGCTGATAGGTGAAAAGTTTTATAATTTGGGTATTTGTGTAGCAAACAGTAATTAAATGGTGGGAAGGCATCTGCCTCAACTTATGCTGCTCCAGATGGACCCGATGGTATGTTTAAGTGTAGACACTCAACATTTTTTGATTAGTTTAGTCTATCTATTTAGATGCAAGAATGCCTCACATCGATGACAAGTCTATCATTAACATTAAATACTGCTGTTTCATAATATGAAACAGTTAATTAGTGCATTTAAAGTTAAATGACAGCCTAGAATTTGACTGCTATCACCACATAAGCAGTTAATAGAATGTCAGTCGGATGTCACAGGCCATTGGTCTAAGTGTGAATTTCCAGATAATCAATATTTATGGACCTCGCAACATAAAATCCAGCACCTCAAATCTAGGAAGGGGGAAGGACAGCCACAAAACTAAGAGAGAACTGTATCACCTACAGAGAAAGCCTCACCAAGAGCTTCACCAAAGATAGAACATCAACGCTGCTGCAACAAACCTCTGGAGACTCCATCAGCAACTAAATAAACTAACTTTCATTTATTCGATGATCTGGCCTTTCATGTTTTAATCTGTTAATTTTTGATCATGCTTTCATGATCTGGTGCTTGCTATGCAGAAGAGTGCGTGTGTGTCTGTGAAACTGGCAGGGAGTGAGGGTGACCCCCCTCTTTCTTTAATGCGCTGCTATCTGAAGACAAAAGTTGTTTTGAAGTTGGGCCGTGCATAAAAAGCTTTTTTGAAGTTGGGGGGTAAAGTTGGGGTTAGTAGTTTTCACATACAGCTGTTATTTACACCCCCCATTGGTCATCCCGGTCAAACTGTAACGGTCTCTGTCCGTGCGCAGTTACATCTATAAAATAAACACCGGCCCCACATCAAATTCCTCTGGACCAATTGGCTGATCCCCGCTTTGACTGGCATTCTGGCAACCCTGGGCATCCAAGCTTCTGTCAGCAGGAAGCTCTTCTGTACAATCTACGGGAGGCCCGCCACGGAATGCCAGAAATCGATAGACTGGAACAGGAGTTATTTGAACAGAACCCCATACTTAAACAGATCTTGGAAGAAGAATTTGTGGCTCGTTGGGAGGCCAAAGACTAAGAAAAGCAGCTCATGATGGGGAACACTATCGGCAGCGCCTTACATCGCTCTATATTAAATGTTTTTTTAGAATGTTAGTCCTCTGTTACATGCTATTGATAAAAGTGATTGTCAGGATGTTCCGAGGGATGATTATGCATGTTGCTGCTTTCATAGACTGAAATTTGAGATCACACCATTCGGGGATAATTATCACCAGGGAAACGTTTTACTTACTCAGCTGATGGGGGAGAGAGAGAAGGGCAATCCCCCGAAATTCTTATATGCGCATATCTTGTGTTCCTGACAATGAATTTACTGTAATCACATTTTTGTATTTTATGCTTTAATTGTAGACTGTTGCCTTTAAATTTCATAATAAGCATGCTGTCGATGTTGTAGGATCACACATGCACATATCACAGGGCCTAAATTCCAGGTGGCCTGAGACAAGGCCGAGCCTGGTACGAGAGGCACCAAAGGGGGGTTAGTGACCCGCCCCCCACACACACACACACACACACAGATAACAAAGGGAGGCCAGCACTCCAACTTTTATTGCCCAAAGATTTAGGGACCTACAGACAGCAGAGTGGACCTAATGGACAGGGGTCCCTCGACTTGGCACACAACCCCCTCCCCAGACATCCTGCCTTACATACCACTCACCCAACAGACGAACACCCTAAAGAAAGTTTCTTTTAAGTTTGGCTTTTGTACACCCTGTATATTGATTCACTCATGACTACCAGTCTCAATATACAGATAGGTTATGTTTGTATGTGTCCTTAGACGATCTTAGTGTTTTGTGTGCTACCCTTATAACCTTGTTCATGGAGTATCACCAATTTTTTACCCCTTTTCACTTGAACACTTATATAAATTTGAATAAATAAATAGGTATAGCTACCACTGCATATATATTCTCATGGTTATACCAGAAGAATCTGGAAAATTAAATAGTGTAACCAGTGTGTCCTAACTTTCAGAGAGTCTTCTCTTGTTTAACAACCCCCCCTTTTTCTCCACATTCTTTCATGGTCCTTATCTGATCTTGGTGGTCCTTAGCAAGTTTTCTGTGTTCTACCATGCTGTGTTAAAAGGACTGAATTAAGGTGTACATTATCCATTCTGGAGAAGATCAATTGGGATAAGTCACACCAAACAAAATATGTTGTTTCCAGATGTGCAACTTATATTGATATTACCACAAACTAACGGCCACGCCTATCTAAGGATAAGATGTACTGTTTTTAATGTGAATATGTGATGTAATGTCTGCACAAAGTGTAACATCTGTTGAGGTGCAACCCAAAACACCTGCATCATATACTGATGTGAGTCAGTCACATAAA